AGACAGACAGACAGAAGGGGAGACGAGGTGAGGGGGTGTGATTTGCCCCCGGGAAAGTTTCCACCACACAAAGGAGCAGCACAGCTCATGTGAAAACCGCGCGGGCGCGGGGATTCGTTATTGTGACAATGGCCTTGTTCCACATCACACTCCTCCTCCCCCGCCCCCTCCGGCCCTGCTCTGCGCGCCCACGCACACACCGCCCCGGGCCGGGCGGCGGGGCGCGTCTCCAGGAGCTGGAGCTCTCCTTCACTTGATGGACGGAGAGGTTCCTGCTGGCGCCCAAGGCTGCCGCCGCCATCTCGTCATCTTCATCCCCCCCACAGCACAGTCTCCCTCTGCCGGTCCTGGAGCGGCCCGCGCCCCGTGTGCGTCTGGTGTGCGGCAGATTAGAGTAGGCGGCTCCGCCTCACCCGATGAGACCATTGTGCTGAATCCATTCGCGAGGTATCCTTGAAGACGCCGCCACCGCGCTTCGCACCCTCCAGGTCCTCGGCGTCAGCAGCAGCGGCACCTTCCGCGCTGCTCCGCACACCACTCGAGCCGAGGACCTGGCGCGCGGCTCCGCCCGGGAGGCGGCGGCGGCAGAGGTTTGCCGAGTCGGCACGAACGTGGCAAATAAGTATCCAGCCAACAACGCGATTCAGGGGGGGAAAACTTTTCATCCCTCTCAGGAAATTCGTGTCCGCGGAAAGATCACTTTCCCCAAGAGCGGCCGCGTGTCTAGTTGAATCAGGGCGCGCTCCAACTCTTCGGTAATGACATTGTTGCTTCGTGCCTCTCTCATTCTCTCTCTCCCCCTCTCTCTTTCCCCCTCTTTCTCGCTCCTCCGCCATCCTCCCTGCCGTTGCTCCTCTGTTCACGCCGCTCCTGAGCAGCTCCGTCCTCCGCTAGGCAGCTCGGGGCGTGGTCCTCGTCCCACCGCCAGCCCTCGCCAACCCCCAGCTCCGGCAGCGTTGGTTACGCTTAATTGCCGAAAATTTGCCACGGAATCTTGGCCGGGCTGGCTGCGAGCGCATTTTGTCTGCGCAAATATCTTCTCAGGCGGGCGTTCGGCGACGGGACGGGTAGGCCACGGGAAAGGGGTTGGAAGCGGGATTATTATTAATTTTAATGAAGACGTTTTTAATTAAGGCGCGCAGACAAAAATACAGATACTGCTAATTGCAAGAAACGGCAGCATCCGCCTAAAGGGAAGAAGAAAGCAGAAAAAAAATGAGGAAAGAAAAAGAAAAACACCGAGGACCGCCCCCAGCCCAGCCGCACCAAAATGAAACGAAGAAGGAAGGAGATGGGTGTACAGTGCAGCAGACTACACGACCTTCTAAGAGGAAGAGTGTACCCAAGAAAGCTTAGTCCAAGCCTGACTGACTTAGTAGTATATTGTACTTATACACCTCCTGTGTTGGTCAAAACAATTAAATTGTTCTGTTGCAAATCTTTTATTGTTGTTAAGAAAGAGTGTCAATAAGTACAATTACAAGAGTTAATAACTATTTGTCGGTGCAACACGATAGCACACGAGTTGGTGGGTTAATTTAAGCCTCCACGTCGTCAGGCCTTGATTGCAAGATAACGGCAAAGCCCCCAGAAAGTGTCCAATCATCCATTGTTTTGGGGGACAAACGACCGTCCAGGCCATTACCGGCGTGTCAACACGTCACCGACTTAGTGATCATTTGCAGCCCCAGGGGCCCCAACGGGGGACCCCAGTCCCCAGGGTCGCAACAGTGTCCCCGGGACATGGCCGGCCAGCACGCCGCGGTGCTGCACGTCCTGTGCCAGGCGGTGCTGGCCGCGGTGCCGCCGCCGCCGCCGCTGGACACGCCGCACCGCCTCGACGCCATGGTGTCGCTCATCGCGGAGCGCTTCTTCCCGCCCGGGCGGCTGCTGGTGCTGACGGAGGGCGTCTGCCGGCCGGCCGCCGTGCAGGGCGCGGTGCGGGGCTTGCTGCGGGACGGCCGCTGGCCCCTGTTCACGGTGGGCGACAGGCGCGTCGACCGCGGCGACCAAAACCCCCGCGGTGAGCACTGGAGGACGGCGATTACAATCCCATTCAGGGACTTCATCTGCATCCTGCATGACTGTGATTTCAGACGGACCGACGCCGACGCCGTGCTGCGGCTGGCTGGACGGCGCCCCCCGGGCTGGTGGCGTGGTGCTCGTCGGGGACGTCAACCACGTCCGGCGGATGCTCAACCACGTCCGCGCCGACTACCCAAGCCTGTGGAACGGCAGTGCCTTCTTCCTGTTCGCGCTGTGCGCCGTGCCCGAGGTGCGGCCCGACAGCCTGCTGCGCTGGTTGGCGTCCAAGCACCTGCGGCGCGCGGCCGTGGCCGTGGAGCAGCGCTTCGGGGCCTTCACCCTCGACGAGGTGCCGCTGTTCGCGGCCCTGCCGCCTTACACCGGCATCGTCGTGTGCCAGCGCGACGTGGAGAACCTCACGGCCGTGGACGTGTGGCTGCCGGAGTCCGGGACGCTGCTCCGCGACGGCGAGGACCTGTTCGCGCCGCGGGCCAGCCCGCTGCAGGAGTGCGCGCAGTGCCCGCTCATAGCCACCCACACCACCGTCCAGAACACGTACGCGTTCGACGAGGCCATCATCACGGAGGCCGCCAGGATCATCATGAGCCGCATGGGCTGCCGCCTGGAGGTGCACACCCACAACGAGGTCGACTTCAGCCCCAACCGGACGTGGGTGGGCTCGTTCAGACGCGTGCTCTCGGGCAGGGCCGACATAGTCATGCGTTACTTGTGGGGGACGGCCGACCGCTACATCTACTTTGATCCGAGCAGCACGATGAACGTCGAGATCCTCTACGTCCACATCAAAGTGGAAGAGCCCACCACCGAGCTCGTGCACACGCTGGCCCTCGAGTGCGTGGTCGTGCTGGCGCTCGCCTTCCTGGCCGCCGTCAACCACGGCTGCATGGCGCTCAGCAGATCGTTAGGCATGGGCGGGGGCGTCCGGCACCCATTTTTGCACGCCCTGATGGGCGTGTGGGCGCTGTACGCGGACCAGCCTGGCACAGACAGCAGCGCCGCAGCCTGGGGCCGCCCGCTCTGGACCTTGCTCGCGCTCCTCGCCGTGGTCCTCAACTGCGTGCGGAGGTCAGGCCCACCTCACTGCAGCGAGGGCGGCCGCCATCTCGCCCGGCACTCTCTTCTCTAATCCGTCTGTTGCAGTTCCTTCTTCGCGTCGTGCGCCATGGGCATAGCGCCTCAATACATCCGCACGTTCGACGAGCTGCTCCGGGACGACGTGACCATCGCTTGCCACGACCAGCTGCTGCTCGGCTACCTGCACACTATCAGGTAGGACAACGAGGTGACCATGCTGTTTCTCCTCCAAGTTGACGGCCCCTTTGTTGCAGTCCCCATGTCGTGGACTGCACCGAGATAATGCCCTACTGTATGCAACGCCTGACGCACAACAAAGGTGACTTTGCGCTCCTGCTCAACCCAGCGCAGTTGTACCTCAACCTGACGGTGCCCGAGCGCGCGAACATCTACCCGCTCGAGAAGCCCTTCTCCATCCAGCCGATCATGCTGTACTTCGCCAAAGACCTCCCGCAGGTGGAGCCCTTCTCGCGGATGCTGGGGCGCATGCACGCGAGCGGCCTCATCCTGGAGAACTACCGCAAGGCCACGAACTACGGCATCACCGAGGCGCGGGGGCAGCTGAGGGACGGCCTGTTCGAGCCGCAGTCTCTCAGCATGGCCGTCCTGGGCCCCGTCGTGGCCAAGTTGGCCCTGCTTCTGCTGCCGCTCTCCGTGCTCTGCTTCATCGGCGAGGTCGTCGTCGGAAACCTGCGCCCACAAAACGACGTGGAATCCGAACGGGCCGAGGTAGCCGACGCCGAGCGACTGCTAGACACCCGCGGGCTGGACCTGACCTGGACGGTGGCGGTCACGCTCCGGAAGGACGCCGTCCAGGAGGTCAGCCTGGTCGGATGGTCGCGCGAGGGCGCCACCGTGTCTGCGCAGAGTGTGAGTCCCGCTCCTAGCCCCACCAGCTGGTGGCCGTGAGCTGGTGCCTGAGTACAACAGAGAACAGAGCTCTGGCAACCATCGGGTGGTCAGAAGGGACAAAACTTTACGGTTACCTAATTAACAATTACACAGTTTTCACGGTTATATTAAAGTTGCCGGAACCATCACTTCATGTCTGCCATATGGGTCACGGTTTCGTAGAGCTTCCCATTTTCCGGGGTGTATGGTTACCTACACGAGTTATTTCTTGCCGTAATGGTGAACAAATAAAATCTTTTGCCCTCACATTATGCCAGTAAGTTTTCACTGCTCCCTCTAAAGGGAGCCATGAGCAGCGCTATTCGCAGTGTTGTCCCGGGCGCCTCTGCGCCGCCACGCCGCCTTGCTGATAATGGATGCAAGCCGTATAACCTCAATAAACGGCCGTGATGGCAGAGCGTCCCATGAGCTACACCCCCGCTCCGCCCCACCCTGCCCCACCCTGCCCCGATCATACCCCCTCATTTCGCCGCTTGTTTAGACCCCCCGAGAAAAACCGGGGGGACTTTGTTCTTATTTTTATAGCGCCCTCTAAAGCGCGGGCTGCAGTGACGTCCGTCATCAATTCCGACGCCGCAGAGCGCCGGCCGGCACGCAAGTTGGGGATCAATTAAGACGAGACAGGGTTAGGCTATGTGATGGACTGATCAAAGTTTCATGTAATACTCCAGGAACTCGGGACGAGGCGAGCGGGCGGCAAGTCGGGCCAGGGCGCAAAGCCGAGCCGAGCCGGGCCGCCACCACCACTGCAGCGCGCACTTTGGGTAGATCCTAACGTTTCCGGGGTGAAAATTGCATTAAACTTTAATAAGGGCTTGCTTGTCGTCGGCGTATTACCAGCGACGCGCCTTCCTCGGCCGCGCCACGCCGCGCAACTACACCAAACGCCAGCCATCATTTCACAGCTACTCCTTCCACTAGGTCGCTCAAAGGAAACGTAATTAGCTCGGTGGCTGTCGGCAGTATACGAGTTGGGTTGGTCGTGATCATCTCTCCCTCGCTCTCTCTCTCCATCCATCCACCCATCTAATCTACTCAAGGGCCCTGGCAAGGACACAGTAGCGGTCCTCTATAGCGCCACGGCCGCTACGTGGTCAGGCGAGCTATGCTTCCAGCTCATCGCCATTCCTGTCCACGTCCCACTCGCTCACCCTCGCTCTCCCTGTCTCTCATTGGTGTGGGATACTGTCCATCCCAAGGTGTGCTTTTAGCCGTCTGGAGCGTATATCACGTACTAGGACCGCCAGGGCGCTGGACCTAGAGCAGGCCGAAAAAAAAATAAAAAATAAAAAGAGATAAAAATAGATCGCAAAAGGAAGTTTTGGACCGGAAGTCAAGGACATTGAGCCGCACGCAATCACTGGGAGCAGACAGTTGCCGACACCCAAAGCCGACTCCCTGTTGCCGGAGAAAAGACAAACTTCCTGTTGGTGAGCCGAACCACACGCCCTAAAAGTCACACACTAAACTTTAACGCATTGTGGTAGTTCTGCAAGTTAGGTAAAATTTGTACATCTTTGTGCATTTTAATTGTGCATTCTTATACTTGCGTCTGTGTAAAAGGCTGCATCCCTATGCACAACAAAGTGATTGCATCCACACCAATCACCTCCATCCCTTTACGCTATACCTCGTGTCCGATTTCGTCCTACTAATCAATTCCTTCTCTAATCAGCCGTGCTGCAAACGAGAGACGTGTGGCGCGGGGCTTCACCGCGTGGACTACAGGCCGTGAAGCCGGGTTGGGGTTGGGGCAGGAGCAGGAGGTCTGAAGCCGGGGCCAGCTGGGTGGCGTGCGTGCGCATTGTTATTATTGTATTAATCGAGTTAGAGAGAACAGGAAAAAGAAAGAGAGAGAGGAAGAGAGAGAGAGGAAGAGAGAGAGAGGAAGAGAGAGAGAGAGAGAGGAAGAGAGAGAGAGAGAGGGGGAAGAGAGAGGGAGGCTCGGCCGGTGTCGGGCACAGTGGTGTGCGGATGTATACCGAGGGAGCCGGCCGGGATGGGTGAGGAAGATGCTGCACAAGTCGGCGCAAATCTCATGCCGCTGCCTTTGCCAAACATAACATAACAATTCAGGCGGCCCGGCGCGTGCTCGCGGAAGCACAGTGAGAGGGAGGGAGTGAGAGAGAAAGAAAGAGAGAGAGAGAGAGAGCAGGGAATAGATCTCATATGGTCAAAACAAACATATGGGCGGCTAAGCAGACGAGACGACGAGGATAGGGGCGCGGTCGTGAGATAGGGATTAATCGAGAGAGAAAAAACACAGCAGTTAAGCCGCGATAAATAACGCAAAAAACAAGACACAGAATATTCCTTCTGACGCTGGTGAAACAGGCAAGCAATCAACTCCCAAAAGGCACAGCAGCAGAAGCGGCAGGGCGCGCGGCTCCTTTACCGACAGCCTGCAGGCGCGCCACAAAAGGAATAAGGGCAATTTACTAAATCCCCGGTGAGTTTTCCTCCCCGGCCTGGTGCCGCTGGGCCCGCAGCAGCACCACCTCTCCTCCGTCGGGCCGACAGAGCCAAGGGCCAAGGCCTCCGACCGCCAAGCGGCCTCGCCAGGGCCTTGCCGCACCGCTGAGGGCCACGCACGGTGCTCCAGCACCGCCGCTTTGTGAGGATGTGAGGGCCGCCTCCGCCTCATCCCTTGATTAGCGATAGTCCTATGTCTTGCAGAGGCAGAGTCCCCGCGGTAACCGCACAAGCGGGGCGGGGCGGGGAAGGGAGTAGTTCGCTAATGGGCGAGCGGAGCGGCTCGGGTTCGGTGGTAAGATCGGGCCCCGCTGCCAGGCAGCCGCACCTCTACCGGGGCCCGCTGGCAGCGCCGAGCAGCGGTGGCTTCGCGGCTCGCTTGGCTTCCGCGGGTCGACCCGGTCGACCTCAACGTCCACCCCAGCAGCACACCACGCCGCCACCGGCGAACGTCTTCCGCGTGTATTTCGACTCGATTCCGCACAAGACTCTGTCATATCTGCCGCACTAGTGCGGGGGATGGGGGCCGCCGCTCAGCACGACGGGCGCCTGGCAGCGGGCGGGTAGGCCGTGCCGCGGGGCAGCCCGGCGCGGCGGGTCAGCCTACCCAGCCGGGCGGCATAGCGCGCAGCCACAGCGGGCTCTCTTTCTCTCGGCTTTCTTTCCTTCTTGCTTTCTTCACTTTGCTCGTTCTCTCTTTCTCTGACATGCCAATGCCGCTCTTACCTTGATGAATAAAGAAAGCATGTCTTCAAACTCAGTTATCCCATTAAATGATCTGTTGGTAAGCGTGACCCAGCGCAAACACTAGTATTCCGTGTTCCATTAAAATGGAAGTTATACCAGTTCGCTTTCATGTCAAACATTTTTTTTATATTAATGCCCAAAGGAGCGGAACATTATATTAATGTGAACCAATAAACTAATTCTGATTACCCTCTCCGCCTCCCTCTAACTTTCTCCCTCCCTCCCTCCCTCCCTACCTCCCTCCCTCTCTCTCGTCTCCACTTCTTCCGTGCCCTCTACCTCCCCCCTTTCCCAACCTTTCCTTCCATTCCTCTTCGTCTATTGATGATACAATCCATGTTGATTTTGTTGGCATGGGGTCG